TATGAATGGGGTTATTAGGATTTACATTCCGGTCAAAGCTACCAAGCAGATCAGATGAACAAACAGAATGGCCAGTCCTGGACCACTTCCCTTACTCTACTCTGTCATTTTTATAGCTGCACACATGCTGCAGGTGCTGATAGTACACACGCCTGACTGTAATCCACACGTCAGTCTGGTAGCACACCAGCCCTGGGAGACACTGCCTCCAGCAGTCATTTCAAGCCTGGTTAAAGGAGCAGAATGGAAACATCAACTAAAGGGATGAAAGTTATGTTTTCTAATAACGGAAATGAGATCTGTTGGGCAGCTGTTAGGAATTCTTTTTTTTCGTTATCTGATTTTTAAAAAAATAATACTGAGAAACGCCTTACAACCCCCTAACATTAGTGTATGTATTCCTCAGTAATGAGAGAGATGAATGGTTGGGTCTATAATCCCTTATAAATCTTTCATTCTATAAACTGCCCATAGCATTGTTCTTTGTAATGGAGAGCTATATGAAGTTGGCAGGTCTTTTTTCAAATTCCCAACTTACTGGGCAAGACAAAAAAGAACTGAATTAAAGTGGAAAAAAAAATTACTCCCCTGGAGAATTGCAGTGAAGCCATTTGCTGTAAAATTATTTTCATTTAAATCACTTTTCTTGCTTTTAATATTGAAAATACTTTCAATCATTGAAGAGCCTTTAATTTAAGGTAGTGGATGGCAGGGATATAATTGAGGAGACCGGACTAACTGATCTGCCTCAGCTGGACCAGACAATTTCTTAGAATTTTTTCAAGTCTGGCATTTTTATAAAACAACCCTGGTCAGATTGCACCTTCAAAACTGTTTGCCTTTAAGACATATGAAAGATACCTTGTTGACAGCAAGAATTGTCTTTGAATCCCAGTTCTTCCCATCTTGAGATAAAAGAGGGGTGGATTGCATGCGCTGATGGATTGAAATCAGAAGGATTTACCCAAGGCAGTTACCACACGGGATGGAGGCAGTGACTAAATAAAATACAATCAGGATTCAGTCTATCCCCCAGGACCACACAGAAATAATAGCATGGAAGGAAATTTTACAAAATAAACCATCACTGTATCTGTCTTTGGCTTTTCCCTGGTGAAATTCAAGTTTCCGAATAATGAGGATTAATGTCAAACCTTTAAAGAGAGTTGGGAGTGTGAGAAGGCATCAGACAAGTGCAGCAATTCCTTAGCTTTGCACACTTACTCTCTTTTACAGCCTCCTAGTCTGGGTCCACACCAAGAGGTCTCCCACCCTGGCAGGGTGTTTGGGCACAAAATCACCCACTTTGCTTGTCCTTGCATCCCTTGCTGCTGAAAACACCATACTGGGGTAGCCCACCAGCAGCATCCCCTCCCTGTGCCGCAGGTACGCTTTCCCCAACCGGCTCCCCTGGGAGCACACACAGACACACAGACACAATGAGATCCTCCAACTGGAAATTCAAACAAAAATATGGCTGTCTACTCCAAAAGGCAAACTCATTTACAAAGGTCATCTCTGTCAAAGAAGAGTGATATGTTACTCCCCTCTTAGAGGTGACTGCTGTCTCTCCTCTGCTGAGTTACATTCATGAACATAGTTTTGAAAAAGAAGAAAGAAAAAAAAAAGAGAGAGAAAAGAAAAAAGACAAAAGCCCGGCAAACCCCCTATTCACAGAGCTAGCCCTGCAACTCCCTTTCCCCTCCTCGGGTAAATTCAGCTTCAAAAGACACTAACATCTTTTCCTACCTTCGTTCTCATCGGAGACAGAAGCCCTTCCATTTTGATCCGATCCTCATGCCAATCCTTGTCCCCAACTTAGTATCTCGTTCCTGTCTCAAGCATCCCACACGAACAAGAGCATGTCAGGGACCGCCAGCGACACCTTTCACGGGAGCTCAGCCAGCTGCCAAGCTGCCAACTTGCAATCCTCAGTCGCGTGGAGCACCGTTCCTGGAGAGACCTTCCTCCCTCTCCCTCCTCTCTCCCTCTCTGTGCATAATCTGCCCGCAGCTATGTTTGTACCATCGCGGCTGACAAACGATCCCTGCCTTACGTAATGCATTCAGCACAGGACAGGCGATCCCAGCCCAGCTGCGGGGACCCGGTCGGCGGCAGCGATGGGAAGGTGTGGGATTTTGCCCTGCCTATTGTGCCACTGGGTTTAATCTGGTAACATCCCCGTCTGGGGCTGATGCTCCTCCACTCTCTGTGCTAGTGAGGGAAGCACCAAGAAAACTTCGTCACTGTGAGAGATTGTGGATTCCCTGGGACTGACTTAAAAGGGTGTAATCCTGATTCCAAGCTTCAGCCCAGGAGGCTTTCCCCGCTCGTGAAACGCCAACAGTTGGAGCATTTTCTGCTGGGCGCGTTTGCTGTCAGTGAGTGACCAAACCCACGCTGAAAGGGAGTTCCTGTCAATTATCAGCCGGGAACTCGAGGAGAGAAAGAAAGAAAGAAAGAAAAGAGGGCTAAACAAAAGGAATATACTCTTGAAAAGTTGGTCAGCAAAAGATACTCTGTGAATGCATTTCTATTAGCATTTTAATTCAGATCAGAGCATGCCTTTGTGGAAAATTCCCTAATTGCTCCCGCTTCCCGCATTTTGTTTTCCATCATGGAGTGATGTTGGGACTGAATCTCTTTCAGAGAAATATCCAACTGAAAAATGGGTTTTAGACCTACAAATACATCAGTGTTCAGTCCCCAGGACTGAACCAGACTAGTCAAAGTAAAACCCCTTTGAAACACCATCAAATGAGCACCAGCTGCCCATCACTGCTCCAAAGGTCAGCTCCCCCCAGGGCCATCCCGCTTCCTAAAACAGACACAAAAAAGACACCTTCCCCAGCCCAGGGGATAACCTTCCACATACCAGTACCCAGTTGCTGCACAAAAATGAAATGAAATACTCTGTTACACCACCAGAACTTGATTTTCAGTGTTCAAAAATCACTGTCAGGCTGGTTGAAGCATACTACAGGTGGAAATTTTTAATGCCCTTCAACATCAGCACTTCTTTTAGGCCCCAAAGCTACATCCTCAGGGTAGTCACAGTTTGATTCAGGTGCTGAGCTAGATCTGGTTAAACTCCTGACATTGCCACATGTTCCCTGGATGACCATGGGGATTCACCTCATTTAGCTTTTACAATCCAAAACTCTGCTTTCTGATCCAAGCCAGCCACTGAGGCTCCTGCAAGACTAACAAGAGAGACAGGTTCTTTCCCAAAGTGATTCAACCCAAATGTACCACGCCAAAGAGAATCCTATCCTCTGCTCCTCTATGGTTCCTCACCTCTACGTAAACCTCTGCTCTTGCTCTGGTTGCCTGCTTTGGCTGCTCAGGCCAGGGACTATCTCTGCCCACATGTGTCTGTCATGCTCGACCCGAGCTCCTGGAGGCTACACTAAGGGGGAGAAGATGCAAAGGAATGTGTTCATGGTGGTGTCATGGTGGTTCATGATATCCCAGGGTGCAAAACAGAGACAGACACAACTCCTGCCCTGCAAGCCACAGCAAAAGTTCTCCCAGACAGTGACACAGATGAAGGTGTTCAAGCCCACACCATCCCTTTTCCTCTCTATCTCTCCCACTCCTTTCAGCCCTGTAGATCTTGCAGTTTTAGGCCATTTTTCTTATTATTCTTTATGGGGTAAAAACAGGGAGGGGAGGTGCCCCCTACAGTGATTAATATTCATGTCAAAGATAATTAACTGTTCTCAGCCAAATTCAGGTCCTTATCAAATGTGAAGGAATCTGATCATATCATACTGAAGGCAGAGATAAGTTTTCCAGAGCTAGAGACACGGTACAATGCTGGCAGGCTCATCTATTTCTTGCTGGATGTATATAAATATGTTTTGCTGTTGGTATTTAAAAGACTTCAGTAAGACTTTGAATAAATGGCAGCAGGAACTCCAGACTCCAGTACAACAAGGCTGCTGTGATTTTTCTGCTGTACAATGTGGTGTCAGACTCTGATGAGAAATTTACAAGTCTGTGCATCTGTGAAACATCCAAATCATCAGGAGAATTTGAGTCTCCAAAATGTCGAGAAGATCATAAAGAGAGAGGAGTATTTAGGTATTTTGGAGATCTCAGGTCAGCTGATCAAGCTTTAATACAGTATGATAATGTGGATGACGCACGCATGGTAGCATATGAACACCCAGTTCTCCTACAACTCAGCTCTCAGTTCTGCTTTGTACTAGGCTAAACCACAGTGCCTCATGAGGATTCCTGTCTTATCTTTGTTTACAAGCACAAAAAAAAAAAAAAAAAAAATCTATTTCTCCTAAAGCCCAAGAGGAATTCAGTCAGGGACCAGAAAAGCAAGCTGGTGCCTTTCTGGTTCAGCAGCACTCAAAGCCTCTCTGATCTGAATGGATTGGGAATTGTGCTGATACTGCATGAGTCAGAGCACAGCCCAGATCAGCAGGATGAGCAGGAATGGGAAAGAGTATGGTGCTGTTTGAGCAGCACCCGTGGCTGTGGCCGTGAGCCAGCAGCGAGTCTGCCTATCCAGGAGTGCAGGTTGTGACCCCCTGCTGCATCCCAAAGGATGCTCTGGGTGAGTTATCAGCTCCTGCGTGGCATTATCATGAGCCACAGCTAAAGTGGTGTGTGACAGCAAGGTCTGTTCACATCCACCTTCACTAGTGGGGCCAAGGGACCCAAGTGCACATTTTGTCTTAGCTCCTTGAAAAGTTTGGCAATTTCCAGTTAAAAGCTGGAGCAATAGTGGATGGACGGGTATTGTGCATCATGTCATCCTCCTCTTGATTTCCAGGTACCAGGCAGGACTTGAGCTCTACTACCATCTAGGCAGATACTCTGCTTTAGCCTGTGCAACGACCAACCTGTCCTCCTTGTGCTACAGGAGCAGGATGGCCACTCTTGGCATACTCCAGCCTGTTTGCAATCCCCCTTCACATTCAGAGCAGTATTTTTACATCTGTGGGAGCCAGAGAAGTTTATCCTCACTTTAAAATGAGAGCTTTAGTTGCTGTAGCCAGGAAAGCAGTGCTGCAATACTGTGCACCACGGTCTGACACTTCCTTCCTCTCCTGGGCTGCAACTCATGGCAATTCTCAAATTACCACAGACTTGTTCCACAGCCTCAGCTCCTGAGATTTTCAGATCAAAGGCACTGCAGAGGCTAAAGGAGAATGTGAACACTTGCAATCTCATTCTCTTCCTGGGGAGGGGAGCAGCATTTGACTCAGATCCTGGGTGGCTACACCCAGCGTATCTCATCTGCAGAAGAAGGGACCAACTTGTCTGGTTCTCACAGGTGTTGCAGAGGTTCACCCTGTCCTGGATTCAACCCACCACATCCTAGAAGATGGGAATATAATCACTCTTAGCTCCTTAACTAGTCATGGGAGTGAGATACCTTGAAAGCCCCTCATATTGTCATAACCTATACATCTACTAGACTCTAGACAGCAGACCAAGGTAGATGTCTACCTGGAGACTGGTACATCCTACCTGGATTCAGCCTTGGAGATGAATCTCTTTCTAGACTCCGCTGACTATGTTGACAGACCTCCATGAACCAGAATGAGAGCAGAGATATCTCCTGATATTTAGCCACATAGATGTAAATGACTGATTTTAAGTGCCTGACTCTGCAGCTGATTGCCTTGTGTATCCAGCAGTAGGAAAAAATGGTCCAAAGAAGCCTTGTGTTCACTGTCAGGCTACTGATTGAGAGTCCTAAAACCAGTCAAACTCAATGGTATGTAATTGAACCCTCAGCTTTCCTCTTGTTTACCCTTTGTGGGTGCGTCTGAGATGAGATAAAACTTCTGTAAATTGAACCCTTCCTAACCTTTGGGGTGGGGGTGCCAACACAGAGACAAGTTGTGCTGCCTGTACCGGTCCTGAAAGGCAGAGGGAATTTGGATTTGAACCCAGTACCCATTGCTCTGTGATGCAAAAAGTTGCCACCTCCTGCTGCCTTCCACCCCCAGACCCGCAGGTGACCGGGACAATAGATGCTGTGGTAGCCCAGCTGTCCCTGCGTGTGTGCCCCTGGCCGACCCCGCAACTGGTCATTTCATTCATCGAACAAAAGGTAGCATCGCCGTGTTGCCATGGTGACGCCCCGCCATCCGAGTGGCTATAGCATCGTACAAGGGCGGGGAAAACATCCCAGTCACATACCGGGGCTGCGCTGAAACCTATCTTATATTTAGAACAGGCGGCGCGGGGAATACTAATGAATATTTAACACTCGGAGTGCCTTTCATGCTCGCTTTTTTATTTTTGTTGCGTACTTCCCATAAGCACATTTGCTTCTAAGTAGTATGAATATTATTGTGTGCTACTGTGCTTCTCTCATCGCTGCTTCTCAAGGTTTCCTCTGCTTTTCATGAAAGCAAACTTTTCAGAGGTTACCTAAAAAATGGGCAAATGCTTATGTTTTACAAGAACCAGTCTCTTTTAAGGCTTTTTTTTTTTTTTACTCTCATTAAAAATAGCTGCTTTCAACAATTAATTCTCTGTGTTGCAGAAAATAAACGAATCAATCAATCATTCTAACTTTCTTTCATTCATTCAGGAGAAACAAACACCTAAAAATGTCCTGAAATTCCTTTCTTTTGTCTTTTTTCCCTAAATGGTGAATGATTAAAAAAAGAGGTCTACCCACCCAAATTATGAATAATTTTATGTGCCTCTTTATAGGATACACTTTAAAAAAAGGCAAGAGTGCTAAGTATGGTGGTGAGCCCCACCTAGTACTGCCCAGGTTGCGTAGGTAGATTTGGAACCTCCATGCGATGAGCAAGCTGATTGTTTTTGAGGATGGCAAAGGGAAGCAAGACCAGCACTGCCTGGGGTGGCATGGGGCACAGGTGCCCACCCATGTGAGTGCAGCTCATTGCACTGCCAGCCTGGGGATTCCCATCTCCAAGAGGTGCTGGAAGGATGCAGGACGGCACAGACTGGGCTGTGTTGATGGTTGGGTACGTCCTCTCTGGGATGGCACTTCCTCTTCAGTCTCCTGTTTAGCTATAGATTATGTTATAAACAAGGCTAAAAAATGTGATATATCAGACCTTGTTGTGAAGCAATCTCCTGGCACATATAGAGTTTTGTTCTCAGAAAGGCCAGGTTCTCAGAGTGAAGTGTGCTCTTTTTACTAGCCAGCGGCAAGGTACTGGCTCTTTTTTGAGCCTAGCAGCCCTAAAAAAGCTACTGGGATCCTTGAAAGCTTATCTATGTGCTTCCTGCTTGGTACCACGCCAAGACACCAAGGATACAGGCACAATTCAGCTGGCAGCTTTGTTGGTGATGCAAGGGGAGGAACAGTGCTGTACTGGGTGTGTTGCTTTGGCAGCACTGACACACAGGAGCTGCGTGTAATTGTTGTTGGTTGTAGGGTGTATTTTCAAAATGAAAACCGGTTTTCCCCTCCAAGACTGCCAGTGCAGTCCTCTGAGATCTGCTCTGTGGTCTCAGAGGGAGAGGGATGTGCCTATGGGGAGGTTAAGAGGGAACAGACCCGTGCTCTTTGCAAGCTGTCCCAGTGATGCAGCATTTGCTTGAGTAAGTGCTGTTAAAATCATCTGCCAACTTACCCTTATATGGTACTAATTCTAGTAAGGGCTGGAAACACCAGCTATTTTTCTGGAGTTCATCTTTAAGGCTCTAATGAACTGCTCTTTCCAGAAAAGTTGAGTTTTTTCCACAGAAAGCAATATGATGAATATAAAATCTTGAGGTATTAATGAGATTTATCTGTCTTCCAGATTTGGAAGGCAGACATAAAAGAGTCATATGTGAGGACCATAGGTCATTGTACAAGTCTGAGAGGGAAACTGAACTACAGCAAAGCTAGTCCAGCATCCTACCCTGGCTGGCAGGGCCATCAGGGTCTGTCCATCCTCCCCCAACAACTGAAAGCCATTTATCTCTGTGACACATCAGTGATCTCAGCCCTTGTTATCATGATTCCTGTTAAGCCAGTGCAACAGTTTAGGAAGGAAAAGCTGCCTCTCAACCACACAAATAAACCACCCCGGCAGAGATGGGGACTGCAGCATTTGGAAAAGCTGATTCAGCTCAGTGGGTCCTGCCCAGGACCAAGCTTTGGTTTGGTGACCTGGACAAGGCTCTGACCATCTTCTTTTTTCTTGCCTCCATCCTGGCTCACCAGACGATCTCTAGATGCTTTCAAGACCTACAGATGAAAAGCAGGAGCTGTAGAGATGGGGTTTACAGACTCAAATTGACAAATGCTGCACAGAGACTCTGGCCCAGCAGAGAAAATGGCCTCTTGGCTGTCCTGGGTCCCAGCAGGTACAACCACAAGGCTGAGCATCCTGCTTAGTCTTCTGGCAAAATGTGTACTGGAAATATGATGGGACTTCCTTCCCTAAATAGCAACTGAGCTGTATTTTCCTTTTGCTGCTAGGTATATTTGCTGTTCTGGATGTTAACAGTCAAAACACACACAAAGCCTTTTACTAGAGCATTAGGTCTATGCATGCATTTTCAGCAGTCAGATGATTTATTCATCCACTTCAGTAACTGTTCAAACAGGGCATGATGTAGAAAGCAACAAACACCGAGTGTGTTTGGTTTGCAGGAAGAAATCAACAGAACAGGGTAACAGAAGCTGTTTTTCCAATGTAAAGGATTCCCCTGCCATCCCTGTCAATATCTTTGTCAAATTAAACTCCCTTTCCAAAGCTACAACTCCACTAAAGCACAGTTATTATGTTCTCAGTTAGAAACCTGATTATAGCTACTTCATGTCTGTAAAAACACAACCTCTGATGCAAGGTGACTCCCAGATACTCTGTGAATGCTCATAAATGCACTTGATGCTCTGTGGACACATCTCTGTGTGTACTGGGAGAGGAGCCCAGCTCTTGCAGGGCAGACAAGGCATTAAGTAGCCATTTCTCTAAAGTGAAATTCCATTACATCTATGTAAATCCTGGTATTTTGTCCTAAGGAAGAGAAGACAAGGAGGAAGTGAGTAGAAGTGTTTGGGATAAAGCAGAAATAGAAGACAGGGTCAAGGGGAAGAAACTGGTTGACAAAATATAAAAGAATAATAATAATAATCTGGGGTTACACAAAAGTAGTCCTATAAAATATTATTTTGTGTTGAGATTCTTTAAAGGTTAGGTTAGTTTTGATGCAAATCAGAACCCCAAATGAAAAGAGTCACCAGAGACCATCTGTTCTCCAAAATGTATGTGCAGTTTTGATTCCTCTAAGGGTGAAGGCTGGTGAAGAATTTTGCAGCTGTCCAGCTCTCAGGTGATATATGTGTATGTAAAAATCCTGTAGGCAGGAGGATCACCTGGATGACAGAGTCTGAGGTAGATCCTGCACACACCTTATTTGATGGCGATAGACTCCTTCACAGGACATAATCAGATGCCTGAAAACAGGACCCAGGGAAATTAGTGATAACTTTTTTCTCCATGATGATCCTACATTTTTTCATTTTACATATTTTTGTGTTGGTTTGTTCAACTCCTAATGAATCCCCACCCTCTAGAACTGCTTGCAAACTCAGAGTCATCACTATCACTTAGATTCAACTTCTGGCATAAGAGACAGACACCCTTCCTCTTTCATCTCAACTGGGGATCCTGTAGTTCCCCCAAATAAAACCTGTATTCAGCTGATGTCAGTAGCATGTTGCTGCCTTATGTTGTAGTGGATATTTCTAGCTGTGCATGTGCACTTGCTTCAGCAGCTGCCTGCAAGCCCCTCCCTGGGTCACCATCCTCTTTGTGCTCCAAACCTCCCTTTGACCACCCAGCTGTTGGTCACTGCATGTCCCAGTTGTGGTGGTTTCTAACCACTGCCATTGAAGAGAAGATGAGAGCTAAAGTGACTCAGAGGTCCATTCAGCTAATTTAAATTCCTGGTCCTCTCAAACCCTTTCACCTCCCCGATTCAGTTCCTTGAGGCAGGGACTCTAAGTGTCCGCAGAGGTGTTAGCCTCTTCCAGGTGCTCCTCTCACTGCATGTACCACAGTCTCATAGAAGTTATTCTGAGAATATTTCTGATCCTAGGTCTCCCTGCTGTCTCATTTTGCCATCCTTACTGGGCTAATGGGACATTTATCCATCTCCCAGAATGTCAATAAACATATAAAATAATGATGCCAGCACAGCATCCCCAGCAAGGCACAAGAGAGCTTCTACATATAATGAATATATATCATCAGCCTGTTTTCAGCCTAAGCAACAGTCCTCACTTGCATCAAAGTCTCATCTGAATTAATATTTGATGCTGGATTTCATGCCACTATTAGATGTTGTTAAAATTCAGGGACCCCAATCTTTCTTTATCTGGAAACAACAAAATTCACTGAGACAGGGCAATCTTCAGAGATGGGATTCATCTCAGCTAACTTCAAATATCTACAGTGTGGCTGGCTACAACTCAGTTGGGTCATTATAATTTCTTTAGAGTAAGTGGAATGAACTGGCACTTTTAAGGCTCAGTTTCCTTGACCTGTATTTGGAAAAAGTCACATGTACCCTTGCTGCCTAACAGAAATGCATTTTTTTGTGCTTCCCATGCCACAATCCTGGCAGAAGTAAGGATGACAGCATCTCATTAAGGTTTCTGCTCATTATCCTAACACTCTGATTGCCCATCTCAAATATCTTGCATGCAGTAAGGAAGGCAGTCACTGTGATGATAGAGCTGAACTTTTTAAAATAATGGTAGATGATCTACAGTATAGGGCAAAAGTCAGAAATTGTGATATGAAGAGATAGTGTAAAGTTGTACCTGTTTCCTGAAATCTACCTGAAATCTACCTGTAGTGCATGGTATTTGCAAAGGTGATTACCTTTGCAAAGTACAACAAATTAAACAGTTAATTAACATGACACTAAAGTCGTAGCATCACTTGGATGTAAGGACTGCTAGACACCCAATTTTCCTCCACATTTCCTATAAAGTGTTTCCTCACCTACTCTTTATCCGCTACTACATTTCTTTTGATATCATCACTCCTTAACTCTCCTTTCCTCTTTACATTACTTTGCTTATTAAAAAC